CAAGAAAACGACCAACAATAACTCTTCGGCTTAGTTAATTAATGTAAGTAAACTCATATTTATCAATGTGTAATCTAATATCTGTTTAATTAGTTGTAAGTTTGTAACATGGCAAGGGATCACTGAATTTTGTTCCATTGTATAATTATTTATTTGTTACAATATACAGATAATTATTTTGTCCTCATTTCCATTAGGACCATTGTTTTTCTCAATCCCTAGTTGTGGTTGGATTTTTAACCTCTCAAGGCCAAGATTTGACAATCGGGTCACTGGAAACACAATTGAGAAGAAACACATCACACGCAACTCATACTTGTGATGTGGATTGTGCAGCAGAATTTATGTAGTTTGGTACGATTACAAAAAATAATGATCAAGAATTAAGATTCTTCAAGACCAAAGTGGTTGTCTCTAGTTATTTTCATATTTGTTGAGTTTCAGCTCATTTTCACTAAATAAAGAGCAAAAACTCACTATAAAACACTAACTATCTATGCAATGAGGAGCCGTAATTGCTGTGCTACAAAACTTATCCGGATTTAGTACCCACATATGGCAACATAAGATATTTGCGCTAATATTCACCCTGAAAGTAATATTTTACGCTCAAAGGTAAAACAAGAACATAAAGTAAAATGAAAATCTTGTAGCAGACAAATCTATTGGCACCAAAACTCGGGGTTCAGAAATGCAAGATAATCACGACCAATCAAGAGAACCGTGAAAACCTTCCTAGAACATCTGTGGAGGGCGTTTTCAAGGGTGGTAGTTCTACATTCTTCACTGACCCGGGAAGCTGGGCTTCTTGGAAGGGCGACATTGGACTCTCCAGTCTCCACTTTGTTTTACGGGGAATACAAAACACTACATTGGTTCGGATACAAGCAAAAGTATTCGCATTCATAAACTTATGAGTCGATATTCTTAAACGCATCTGATAGTCGCATTAGTATAAAATCTGTAGGACCGAAAAATTGGCACACTACGAGATTGGAAATGAATTGCGATAAAAAAGACGTTAAGGGAAGAGA